CCCTATTACAAAATCATTTTAGGAGATAAATGCCGGGCCACGAACATTTCTTATGTTTAAATATGCACTTTTATAATACAAGTTGTTCTTTGAATAGCCAAGGGGAAATCGCAAATCTAAAAATACCGCGGATTGTCCTGAAACCGCGAATTTTAGGCCCCGCGAATCGAAAGAAACTTACAGTACTTATCAGAAATTATATGTGCAAATGGCATACTCCTATTCCGCGGTAGACTGGGCACATGACTTGTCAACTGAAAGCATACACAAACTTACGCCACTCAATGGACCCTCTTTGGTCAATGGATACTTCCTGTACAACTTGATACTGTCTTTTGCCATGCAAAGATCTGCTTGGAGATTATTTAGGTATGCGACATCCTTCTAATCTACCCGTCAATACACCGATGCTGTAGCCACATCCCCTTTGGTCAAGACATATTCGTAATACCCTTTCACACAGAAGGAAAGTCATCGGCCGACGAAATTTGTCTACCTTCAGGTCAAGACGTAAAAAGAGGCTTGATCTTCGAATGACGAGTCGTCTTTTGAAATTTCAGATGCAACACAGCAAACTACTGAGATACCCACGACAGCTGGTCCTCTGTACACTACAGAACAAAATGAGTCAACCCTCCCAGGAACAACTGTTTCTCAGCACAGTAGCAGTCAGACAACACAACGGCCAACTCTTCCAGGAACAACTGGTTCTCAGCAAAGCACTCGCCAGACAGCACATTGGCCAACTCTTCCAGGAACAACCGTTGCTTCTCAGCAAACCACTGACCAGACCATCCAACGGTCAACTCTTCCAGGAACAACTGTTGTTTCTCAGCACACCACTAACCAGACGACAAGCCTAGCAGGTATAGATGACACAATATTATCATTTGATCAATTCATTAGTTGTATAACTACAAGTTTGCGCCTTCTTACATACAACTTCATGTTGATACATTGTACATAGATTTCTATCCAACAATTGTCATAAGTACAAACTGTATCATTCTTTTGCAGGAAGGGAGACTGCTAAATCTATCAATGCTGACTGCAAATGTGCAGAAAACACACACACACAGACAGACGCACAGACACACCAAAAACAATACCTCCGTTTTTCATGGAGGTAACAATTATCAGAAGTACAAACTATATCTTTGTTTTGCAGGAGGGGAGACTGCTAAGTCTATCGGTACGTGGTACAACAAGTCGCTCAACATCGCCCTGGTCTGTGTCTTCTGTGCTGCAGCCATCATGGGAATGGGGGGCGCGTTGCTGTACTACTGGGGCAACAGACGTCAAAGAAGACAGCAAGTGGCTCAAGATCCACGGGACGAAGAATTCACACATTAGAAGAATGTGGTAAAACGTTTGAGAACGTGGACAAAGCAAGCAGAATATTTTAATTTTGGCAACTTTACTCACAAGGCAAATGTTATAGGAGGGACATTACTTTTGTGTCACTTCATTGTCAGACAGATAGCTACCTAATAGGGTCAAATAACATTTAGAAGTGTGGTGATATAATATTATAATTTGTTTGTACATGTAATTTTGGTCTATTCATACATAAGACTGATATGGAACCGTGAGTCCAGTTTGAAATGTGAGAGGGAGATGGAGTGAGATATGCTGTATTCGCTCACGACTAAACATTGGCCTTTTTAGTTCATATGGTATTGTCCAGAGCAGACCTCTGTTCTCTCAATCTGTATTTTTACAAAGTGGATGTAGTTATTACGTATGTCACTAAGTTGTGCGTTATCATCACTTATATCTCAAGTTGGAACATTATTCCCGTTTATGAAATGTAAGTAATGCACGAATACAAGATAAACATCACATAAAATAGCTTCCATTCCGTAATTCTTTTGAAAGAACCGTCTTGTTACTTATTCTATTTTCAACGGAGTTGTTATTGTACACGTTGTGTATTATCATCACTTATATATCAAGTTAGAACATTATTCCCGTTTATTAAATGTAAGTAATGCACGAATACAAGATAAACACCACATAAAACAGCTTCCATTGCTATTTCTTTTTTAAATGCATCCGATGCAGTTGCAGGTTGGCAAACTGAAAATATTCTGAATAATTAAGATATTGATACATACTATCCCACACTAGCACATCTGAATCAGTAGTTCATTCTTTAGGTATTTCAAAACAAGCCCCAAGATTAGTTCTTTATTTTCTAGGTGGTACCCTAAAAATCAAGCTAGGTCCTTCCAGTAACCGTTTTTCGTCAGAATTTTGGGAATTTGTGCTCTATGGATATCGATAAACATTGGGATAGTGTTGCTTCAACTTAGTTTGTAGATAAGTGACTCCAATGTTGACTTTGAAAAATCTAATTTCTAAGCCCTAAAACTACACTAGAAGCCTTTGATTCACAGGGGGCTCAGTCTTTAGACTTTTGAATGAACCGACTCGTTAGTTATAATTCTATTTACAGTGGTGGTTTTATTGTATACGCGTACGGGCACACAATGGATCCAGGTTGCTATGACATAGCTCTTGACATCACTGACGAAATTATATCTTAGCAACTCCCCCTTGTAGTCAAAGTAGCCACTTAGAGTACACAATGCCTCATTTACCACGCCATTTTAGGGACTATAACAGAGTTAAAAGATGTAAAGCTCTGACATTGATGTCGAAATTATATCTTCCCCAAGTCCCTCCTGTGGTCAAAGTAGCCACTTAGAGTACTACACAATGCCGATATTACTCCATCTTTCTGAGGACTATATTTAGAGTTTGAAAACCGTGTGACTACTACAAATCGCAAACTATAACGTTACCTCTTTTCTCATGCCTTTGAATCCCCAATGGTGGAATAATTATTCAAGATTCAAGATATGGATTTATTGGTTCTTCGCAGTTAAAAACAACTGAATTGTGAACCAATTTACAAAACATTGGTATATCAAAACTACAGGTTTGCAATCAATATAGGCGTACGATTAACAAACCAATAAAAATACATATTTCATACATTATAAATTTCCAACATTTCATACAGAACACTGTACTACATTTAAAAACACAACAGTCAGGGGTTCAGTCCATAGTTATTGAGGATATAATATAATATTATATAATTAGACTAAATGATTGATGAGATGAGGAAATACATAAAATCCCAAGTCAAAGAGGTTGTGTGCAAAGTCATATTACCTTGTCAAAGATGTTTGCATTACAGAAGCTATTTACAAAACCGACTGTACTATACTGTGCACGAAAAAGCACAATGATTAATTTTACCATTGCCTGATATAGAAATACAACTGTACTGTGAATGAGAAAATACTTGCTTAAAATAAATCGAAATGTGGAAAAATACTTGACAACCAGAAAGGCCAACATTTGCTCGGAAGCAAATGCAGCAGATGGCTTCATCACATCCCCCGTACCAAAATGGACTTATCCCCCTCCCGCACAGTGGTCTGTTCCTAAATCACCCCCGTCCATAATGTGAAGAGTTCCAATAGTCTATACCCCCATGCAACGATGGAATCTTCCAACGAACGCCTTCTTCTGTTAAAACATGTAGAACCAGTGTTCTATTCAGAACTGTCAGTTGGGATTTGGTTTATAGGGTACAATCGTTGTTTTTACTCAAAGTAAGGTAAATAAAGTATTTTAAAGGGCTTAATCTGAGTAGTGAACACTATAGTCTAAGCATTTGGTGCCAAGCTACCCTTATGCTGAATTAAAGGTCATTTAGTTTTCGTATTAGCGCACAGGAGACAAAGAGTTTTGGTCAAAAATAGCAAAAAATTCCAATTTTATGTAATTTTAAAGTGACACTCGCCAAAAGCTTAAACAACGTTCTGTGATCTACGTGCTAAAGGAGACCGTCCGACACCATCGACACCATACACTAAGCACACTGCTTTTGTTGGACAGGAGCCAAGTTCGTGCAACACCGATTTCAACGGCCAAAAAACTTGGTGGCCTAGCTACTGCCTGTTGTGAGACACGCGATCACAAACGCTTAGATACTAATTAATGGCTACAACGGTTACAACCCCATCTAATTATGTCATCATAGGACGTAATAGGTCCTCCATTAGAATTAAAACAGACACTGTGACAAAAGTAAGGGTGGCCTGTTAGCAATTTTATTGCCAAAGCCAGTTCAACAAATATAACAAAACGCAGGTACTTCACCCTATATTGACCATGTTGATATCAAGTGGTTTGCCGGCAACAGTAATAAAGAGCATTGGACTTCAAGTCACCTTTTGGATAAGTTAAAAATTCTATCTCTTGTTACAAATCATACGGTGTACATCCTGTTTACGGAACCTACGAAAACACCCCGTTTGTATAGTTTGTAAACTGAATTGCGTAATGAAATATACTTTCTTTGCCTAAGCATTTCAAAATAACTTTGATACTTTCCTGTTTTCTTTCTGTCATATCAACATCTTGACGAAAAAGTTATTTCTGTATATGTATTCTGTATTATATATTGCTGTAACAATGGATATAGTTAGTGTTGTACTCTTGCCTTTGTTATTTGTAGTCTTGCCGGTTCTAGTGCCTCCTGTTTGAATACGTGCAAGCGCACGTGCGTGCATAGGAGCAAAAAATCTACAGTTTTAGTTGAAAATAGCTACAAAATGCTGGGAAAGCAGCAACGGCCCTAGCACCATTTTTTCGCACACAAGGCCTTTAGGATAGAACTTTTAGATAATCATATCTCCAGATAGAATAGACGGATTTTTATGATTTAAAGCTTAAAAATGTAGGGAATGACACATCAAATTAGTTGAATGCATGAACCAGGCTCAAATATGTTATCTGAATATATGACAGGTTTTGAGAGGTAAACATTTTAGTACCAAAAAATTAGAATTTCAAAAAGCTTATAACTACTCCTAGAAACGACATATCGAAACAAATTTTTTTGTTAATTCTTTTTTCCTGTTTTATCAGTCCATGAAGTTACATTAAAAATATCCATATTTGATTATTTTCCACTCCCCTTGGCATTATAAGTGCAAAAGGCCACGGTCCATATGAGGTCAAAGTTCAAGGTCAGATAGCAAGGTCAAAGCTGCCAATGTGCAACAGCTATGATATCAAAAAATATCCCACAGACACCCTATTTTTCAAAAACCACGATGAGAAATTGCCACCTCAGGTGGTATCGATATCTCCTCTGGCCCATGGCCCTTTGAATACCATCTCGTTGGTATTCATTACCTATAACAGCTAAGTTTGATTACATTTTGATCGTTCATCAGATAATGGCCAGTCTACAACCTATAGTGTAAATATTTATGGCTACTTTATGGCTGGTATGACATTCTATCAAGTTGCAATTGTAACTATTAAATTATGTTTGACTTTCCTCACTTAAACTCAAGCGAAAATGAGTATTGTCTTGTCCTGTATTTGTACTCTGTTGGTGGCGGCATAAAATAAGTTGATATAACTTGAGTGTGCCGTCGCCATGTTTGGTCATAAACTGTTGGAATATAAAAAAAAATAAGCTTGAGCCACCTTCAGTCTTTCCAACAGAAAAAGACATCCTTTCTCTCCCTTCAAAGTGTGTCACTCATACATTAACACCCCACTACAAAATAATATCTATCTTCATCAAATATTTCAAAATTCCTAGAGTAATGAAACCGTATAATGATGGGTCACGAAGATGGACATGGTATGTTATGACTGTCCTTTGGATGCGTCAGTGATCTTTTAAGCATCCAACTAAGAATGCAGCCCCATCAATCATTTACCATTCTGATCTGATTTTTTTATGTCACACAATGGTCACCAACAGCCTGTCAAAGAGGTGTTGTGACATTTTACGGATCCGAAGAAGGAAAGCCATTAGCCACTAATCAAGCAACCAAACTGCAGACCTAGTTTGCAAAATTATGTCAAGACAATCTTTGATCAAATTTTTACACCAATTCCTAGCCCTTGTCCTGCGGAGCACAACAATTGTTATGCACATACAGTACCATCTATATAACACCCTGTATAGGTCCGATTTGGGGGTATTTTTCGTGCATCGCATCGCACCGCAGTGAAACGCAACGAATGCGGAAGTAACTATGCCACTGCAGAGCAAAAATTGGGGGTCTATGATCAAATTAAGACATGAAATTATTGAAAATATTGTGCCAAAAATGCCGGCAGGACAAGGGTCTTAAGATAAGGGCTCTGGCAGGAATAAATTAAAGTACATTCTGTACAAACTCAAAACTACATCTGTATAAATGTTTGAGAACATAGCTATTAAAGATTGCTAGATGTTCCGTTTGACACCATTTTAGGTACTTTTCCAAAATGCTTGATTCGACATCAGTACATTTCAATGCAAACGTGGGACTAAACAACAACAGTTACTAAATTTCAATTCTTTGATATATACAGTTTAGATGATCTGTATGCCAGTCGTACTACAATAATTTTGAGTCACATTCAGTCTTTCCAACAGTAGATTCTTATGTAAAAGACATTCTTTCTCTACCTTCAAAGTGCGTCACTCATACATTAATAAGCCAATGAAAATGATAGCTATCTTCAACAAATATTTCAAAAATTCCTGGAGCAATGAAACCGTACAATGATGGTTCACGAAGATGGACATGGTATGTTATGAATGTTCTTTCGCTGCCTGAGTGGTCGTACTTAAGCATCTGACAAAGAATGCAGCCACGTCAATCACATACCATACTGACCTGATTTACAGCACTAGCCAGGAAACAAGGAAGAGCCTATGTAGTAACTATGATGGCTAGGGTCGGCTTGGACTTCATTTGGGGTAATGTTATACGTTGTTTGGGTATACTCACTGAGCTTATAGTACTTGATGTTAACATTATTATAATTACTTCGTGTGTTCCTGAGATCTAGCGAGTGTATAGTACATGTACCTTGTTGTTAGGCACTCTATATTGTACGGTATCTTATTATCAACACTTATATACATGTATTAACTTTGGATGTACTTCTATGTTTTCTTGTATATTGTATGTAGAATACACTAAGGTAAACCATTTATGATTGTTAGAAAATATTTGTTTTGTTGCCAAACTTCACCATTTCTTGTACCTTGTATTAAGATTTTAGTATTCCACAAATAAATCTAATAAGTGTGCACCATTACTGGACCTAGTAGTAACTACAGATGATGTAACCCAGGCTAGGGCCAGCAGTCGTTAGAACTTTATTGGGTCAATGCTATACATTGAGTACATTTTTTGGGCCCTTGAGGTCTAGAAAGTAGTAGTATATAGTATTACGTCTTTGCTCCTACATTGCTGTCAAACACAAGTTGTTATCCTTGGATGTTTTGGTCACACTTCTATGCTTTATTGTATGTTGTACTGAAGTAGAATAAACGTCAAGTCATTTATTACAATTTTTAAATATTTGTAGCTAACACATGCAAACCTAATGTATCAAGTGTTGCACAATAAAGTATATGCACCACATTCTCTTAGGTCTGGAGGTGTTGTATTGGGTGTGATAGTAATTGTGTTTGCTTGTACATGTTTATTATGTATTTGAATGCAACAGAGTGCCAGGGAGGGGGAAGAAAAGATTTTGTAACTATAGATTGACCTTGTGGTCAACTTGGCAGCTGCGGTAAAAATGGTCTGCCCACAGGCCGAGAGGAAGTGAGTACACCCACACGACACAAAAAACAGAAAAGTGACCTTGAAAATCCAGTTTTGCTGCCCTGAAACTACATTGAATGCCTCTAAGCGTTTCTAATGGAAACCTACCAAGCTTGTCAATGAAGGTTATTAGACATTAATGTCAATAAGGTGCCCCCCCCCAAAAAAAAGTTCCTCAAGAGTAATGATTTTGGAAAAGGTAACGTTACATCCACTACTTTTCTTCGGTGACAGTGGTGTGATCTCAAGGTCAACCTATCCAGCAGCTCTGAGGAAATACTCAAAATAAAAATAAACAAAATTCCTTCTTTAGTTAAAAAAAATCTTATTGATCTATCAAGTTCAAGAATTGACCTCTTTAAGATACTTAAGGGACACTAGAGTTGGGAAATGGGTGTCATTTACTGAACTGACTTTTTATGACCTTTTACTATAGTTAAAATGGTAGTATCAAAATGTGGAAGCAAAACTCACTAGCACCAACTAGAAAGAAACTGGTGTATTGCAGATCTAGAATAGTGACAGCAAAAAATTGTCAGTAATAGTTGCAATACACACACAGTTTCCAAGGTGGAGCTTCTGTACCTCCAAATTTTCGATGTCGACTGTTCCTGTTCATCACGAGTTACCTAGTCTCGCGAGAACTCGAGAATACGTCGAGACTTGTTCCGATCTTCTGGCCTTCCCCGCCTCCTTGCGGAGTGTTTCTACCTTTCAAAAACAGTCCCTGATTGAAGAATATTCTACCAACTGTTAATTTTACGTGACTGATAAACCTCTTCAGCGGATTATTTTGCTGTCAGAGTAACTGACATTACTTACGTAAGGTCGGCTTGCGATTTACGTAAAAACATCTAATGCATGCGTCGGCTGCGAACGTAATTACGTCGTGCTTACGACCGAAGGAAAACATATTGTTTTTGCTACGTTCTTCTTCTCCAAACAGTGACCCCAATGCCCTGAACCAGTGTTGTGGCTGTTATCATGGTAACTGGTGTTGGGTTACGTTATGTTGCAATTTTATAGCAGGAGGGATTTAGACTCCTGTCTGACCTTACATATGAATGTGTTTGAGTAAGAACTAACAGACCATATGCGAAGGTAAACATGCATTTGCTTTGCAAATGTTACCTTTCTAGTGTTTTCATAACCTAATTGAAAAACTGACAATTTTGTCTTAAGAGCTTAACTACATGGGGGACTCAGTCTGTTGTTTTGTAGATGAGAAGGGGCATAAAGTAAGAATAAAACAAACACGTAAAACAATATTTCTGTGTATAGCAGAATATTCATTTAAAGGCCTTTTGGTGTAGCACTGGGTTTACGGCACAGTATTGCAAGGCAAAACCCATCCGGCTGCTTCCACAGCCAAGTGAGGTAACCATTTTACACCTTGGTGAACGGACGACAGTTGTACAAAGTGAAAGACAAACCTCTTACCAGGAATGCCAAGAATCAAACTGGTGACCTCTTAAATATGTCCGATAATCTAGCCATTCCTACCTTTTTCCGACCAAATTAATAAAATATAGTATATACTATATATAAAATATAGTAACTTTATTCACATCCATTAAGTTGTAGTTGTGTCAACACAGAGCTAGGAGGTAAAAAAATCTAAAGCTCATTTAAAAGAGCTTTTGTCAAAACAGTACAGATTAAAAACATAATGAAAATCATAGGAGAGCACCTAATATTCTTTCTTTTTAAACTAATGTTGATTATAGCTGATTGTTGACTGTTTTAAAGCAAACAATTGGCAAGTTAATGATTATACAGCATAACACTCCAGTGTATTAAGTTATATACTTCAATTTTATTTAAATGTTTTCCTTTAGTAATATGTACAAAGACACCACCAATCTTTCTAGATTTTTAGGTACAACATCACTAAAGATTATGCTTTGCAAAATATATCATCAATTATAATTACAGATTACAAATTAAAGTTACAGATTCTGTATAGTTATGAACACAATTGTTACCTTTACTCAAGAATGAAAAACTTCAGTCAAAATTATTATGTGTAAAAGTTATGACACATCCATTTTTTTATCAGCATGTTGATGATTCTAAAATGAGGTTTAAATATTAATACTGTCTGCAGTACATAGATCTGCTACTTTTCAAAGTTTTCAAACATGATTTACACAGAAATACAAAATGTTCTCTGCCTGTTCTGGGTAGGACAATAATTAAAGTAAATATTGAATGTTCTTGCACAGTGTGAGTAGGTACAACCATCGTCTGAACTTTTGTACAATTAAAAAAAAGCAATATAGAAGCTCTCACACAAAGTTGTAATTACTGTTTGTACAATGTGTCATGTAGGGTTAAGATTGAAGTCTATTATAATTGTTGTATACGTAGCTTACGTTGTCAGCTGCTAGTGCCTAAAAACCACATTACTACTTTTTCTACATTTAATAAATTGTAAATGAAATATTCATCTGAACTTGTGTAAAGCTACAATTGTTACAAAGAGGTCATGAGACGCTCATACACTAAACGTTTAGTTTCAGGTATAATTCATTATCTTTATAATTATTGTAAGCTCCTGAAAATCACTTGGAAAATTGCTGTTGAGATTTTAGCAATAAAAACTTCATAGGGTTGGAATTAATGGTTTCAATTCCTCAAGTAGCATAAATGTAACACCCTCTGCCCTTCTGTGGCACTAAATGAACAGATTTTTTTCTGCAAGTTTTGTTGTTTGAGTTTTCTCATGTATCTCACTACTTGTGTGTCTACATGTAACATTGACAATTTTCGTTGCCACTCATTGGTTGCCCATCTGTCTCCTTCCTGCGGAAATGTGGATTTAATCATGGTTTTACTATTTTTTGTACAGACAATTTAGCTGCGAAGCAGTTGGCTGTGTGCCATAAGACAGATTTGTAGCATCCAAGGATTCAGTGATAGCCTGGGACTGACCCTGCCCTGTCTGATCATGACCACTGGTCACTAGAATAGCTGTGGTGTTTATGTTGGATTCAGTGTTGGTCTGAGACTGACCCTGCCCTGTCTGATCATGACCACTGGTCATTACAGTAGCTGTGGTGTTTATGTTGGATTCAGTGTTGGTCTGAGACTGCCCCTCCCCTGCTGATCATGACCACTGGTCACTACAATAGCTGTGGTGTTTATGTTGGATTCAGTGTTGGTCTGAGACTGACCCTGCCCTGTATTGGAATAATGGTTTTCAGTGTTTTCATTTTGGTAATAATGATCATTGGTCATTACAGTAGCTGTATTGTTTGTGTTGTATTCAGTGATGGCCTGAGACTGACCGTGTCCAGTATTGGTATAATTATGGTTTCAATGTTTTCATTTTGGTAATGATGATTACTGGTCATTACAGTAGCTGTAGTGTTTGTGTTGGATTCAGTGATGGCCTCAGACTGACCCTGCCCAGTCGTAACATGATTGTCCATATCCACATACTGGTTATCATCACTACTGGTCACCACAGTACCTGTTGTGTTGGAATCAGTGATGGCCTGAGCTTGCCCCTGCCCTGTCTGATCACTGGTCGTTTCTATAGGGTCCTTTATGTAGGCGTATGTATGTGGCACTTGGTCATCGGATAGATTTTCAACATTCAGAGACTGAATATTATTAGCCTGAGACTGACCCTGCCCTGTCTGATCATGATTATTGGTCGTGTCTACTGGGTCCTTTATGTAGGCGTATGTATGTGGCACTTGGTCATTGGATAGATTTCCAACATTCAGAGATTGAATACTAGTATTATTAGCCTGAGACTGAACTTGCCCTGTCTGAACATTGTCAACATCCTCATACTGGTGTTCATCACCACTGATCCTCCTCTTATACCAAATTATTGTCATAATGGTGCCAATGAGAACAATACCAAAAACTGGACCGGAGACTGAGGCAATGAGAACAGGTCTGGGTGCAGTTTTGCTGGTGTTTTTTGCAGGGTTTGCTGTTGAGCCCGAGGAGACAGTGGCATTGTAACAATTATTAGTGCTTTCTAATGGGCTTTCAAGCGGCTGTGTGACAAATATAGAGACTACAGGACCTGCTGTTGGTCTGGCAGTGCTTTTTGTGTTGCCAACTGAAGATGTTGTTTGGATATTATCAACCTTTAGTGATGTTATGGTTGGCTCTTCACATATCATTTCATCAAAATTGACATCTGTAATCTTCTTTCCTTGAAATTTGGCGGGTTGGGCACATGTTATCTGGTCTTTTAATGCAGGATTTAGCTTGAAGGGAGCCATCCTACAGTCACACTGCCAGGGGTTCCTGGCAAGTTTGATGGTAATAATAGATAGGAACGGGCTGAGAGCTGACAATGGAAAGGTCGACAGCTTGTTGTTCTGAAGTTTCAAACGTTTAAATAGGGGCAGATTTGCAAATGCACCAGGGTGGATCGTAGTTATCTGGTTGTCGTCAAGGTGCAAATCTTGCAGCTGTGGTAGATTTGCAAATGTACCAGGCCGAATTATTGTTATCTGGTTTTGGTACAGATATAACTTACGTAGCTGGGGTAGGTTACCAAATGCACCAGGCTGTATCATTGTGATACGGTTTTCCTCCAGGCTTAAAGACTGTAACTTGGGTATATTGCCAAATGTACCAGCTTGTAACATTGTTATCTGGTTTTCGTCCAGATGTAAAGATTGTAGCTTGGGTAGGTTTCTAAATGCACCTGACTGAAGATTTCCTATCTGGTTTCTTGCAGACACAACAATCGTAGCTGGGGTAAGTTTTTAAATGTACCAGGCTGTATCATTGTT